AGCGTGCGAAGAGGGCCGGGATAGAAGTATTTCTTCAGAGCCAAACCAGCTTTGAACTAGGCTACTTTTAAAGAACGAACGGTTGCAGAGCGAAAGTTTTGCGTTAGATTTGAAATTCTTCCAGCCGCCACTTTTCAGAATGCCGTCAGAAAAAAAGTTCGTTCCTGCTTTATTCGCGTTCGAAATTAAAGGAAAGACGGGAAAAGAGACGCGGCTTCATAAACTTGAATGGTTAAATGAAGCATGAGGAGCTTTAAAACTCTTGAGACCCCTCCGGCAGGGCTCACACGTCAGTCTGCTGGAGCTCCTGGTATGCTGCTGTCATCATGACCAAATACAACTGCGCGATGGATGGGGGATTCTCTAATCTGACCGAGATAGTGATACCGGCGCCCGATTGGGCGAAGCGCGCAGCAGGGAAGGGGATTGGACAGAACCCGAGCGCCGCGACAGTTGTGACTGTCATTTTTATTTTTAGGAACCCCAAATTGGTCACGTGGGGGCTGGAGTTGCGCTTGTTGTAAAACTTGGGCTCTTTTTTTAAACAATTGGGGCTGGAAAAAGCAAATGACAGCATAATTATGTCAGTGAGACATTTTAACACAGTATGCTAAATACATATCAAAGCATAAGGAGAAGGGATGACAGGCTGTTTATTAAAAATTATAAATAGTTTTGACAGTTTATTAATAAACAATATTATGGCTGCAGTTGACAAAACCGCTGTTCCAGTCAATGAAGTCATACACTTTAAAACATTTTTGTTAAATTTAGCTGTATGTGAGTCATTTTGTTACCTGTATGTTACAGTTCTTCTGTTACTCTAAAATGCACTTTAGATAAAAACCAAATGTCAACTGCATACAAATGTGAATGTAAATAAATAAATCTCTAGTAGCCATGTTACAACAAAAACGGAGCACATGAAAGAACACTTTTTACATAAAATTCAAATAAGTGTTATGGTTTTTTAAGGGTGTGTATTGTTTAAAACAAAGATTTTCAGAATATGTTTTTACAAGTTATTCTACTTCAATGTGTTACTTTCTGTTTCCTTGTAATCAACTATCAATTTCTGAGTGAAAATTATTTTTTTTGCTACAAAATTGTCCATTTTTTTCAGTGTATCAAGGTAACATGAACAATACCATGGTTTTATGGTACTTTTTTCCATAAAATGTCTAACTTTTTTTACAGCGGTCATCTAACCTGCACTCTTAAAAAAAATGCTGGGTTGTTTTGACCCATGTTTGGGTCAAACATGGACAAACCCAACCATTGGGTTACATTTTTTAATTCAGTTTTTGAACAAAACGGCCTAAACATGGGCCTTTTTTTTTTTTTTTTTTTTTGGGTGGTGGGGGGG